GGGGGGGGGAGGGCGCGACAGCGGAAGAAGCACTAAGTTGGTGCTCGGTCGACACGGGTCAAAAGGAGTCACTTTTAAAATGGTGAACTTGGACAGGCTTCTGGTATTACTTTTCTCCTCTCCCCTAACCTTCTTACCCAACAGCTCCCTAGGGATAGGCAGGAGGTTGGGGTAGGTTAAAGATCGATGGCGGCGGGCTCGCCCCGGCTCTTTAAAAAAATAAAATAAAATAAAACAAGAAAAAGAGAAACCAAACCTGAAAAGGAGAAAGAGGGCGGCCCTGGCCCAACCCGTCCCAAACCAGCCACAAGCCTCACTTCTCCCTCCGCCAACTTTCCCCTCCCCCAAATCCTCGGGTCTCGGGAGGGGGAAAGGGGGCGCTTCCACCGGCTTCCGACCACCCCGCTCTGGCGGACTTACCCCCGCACCGAGGCCTAGAGGATGCGTACCTTGAAGTAGATCTCGTCCACCACCTCGTGGTAGGTCTTGAGCTCGTAGAGCTGCACTTTGAAGTAAGGCGACGACAGGATGTTGGTGAGGATCATGGGGTTGAGGTTCATGGTCTTCTCGTTGCCCCACAGCGGCAGCACGTTGCCCTGCTTGCCCGACACGGCGGGCTTGGTGGCGCCGCCGCCGCCACATGGCTGCTGCTGCTGGGCCACGGCCGCGGCCGCCTGGTGCTGCGGCTGCGAGTTGCCTGTCAGCGCGGGGCTGTTGTTAGCCATGTTGGCCGCGGCAGGAAGGAGGGCGGGAGGAGGGGGCCCAAGCTCGATCGCGCTCTTCGGGACAACGGTCCCGGACCTACTCCATGGAAGGCCGCCGGGACGGGGAGCCCGCCGCGCTGTGTCCCCGCCGAGCGAGGGACTGCAAGTGGGACGCCGACACACGGACCCCAGGCCGGGGACGGACGCCAAACGCGGGCGGCGAGAACTCCGGGAGCAACGTAGAGCGAGCAGCCGAGGAGCGCGATCTCTTCCGCCAACTGCCCCTGGGAACAAGATGGCGGGCCGAGCGGAAGTGACGCAACACGCCCGGGCGTTCGAGCTCATCCCGCGACCAATCAGAGCCGCGCCTGTGGGCAGGCGATTCCTTTTCCTGGTTGCGCGAGGTGGATGCGTGCTGGATCCGCTGCGGTGGTCGCCCTGCCCGCCTGTTGGCTTTCTCCTGGGAGTTTGGCCTTTAGGGGAAAGAGATCGAGACACAGTCGCTGTGGTTTAGTTTGCGTCGGTGGCTTGAGTCCTCGAGGCAGGACGCGGGTCTCGTGGCCATTATGCTCTTGGCGAATGCGTGCCTTTGACCCCTGCGGAGTGTTGGAGGTCTCAAGAGTTAATTTTGTTAAGGTTCTCCAGAAAGGACTAGGGTCAGGGAATCCCACTTCTCCGTTTGACCCCGGTAAGGAGTCCTTGAGGCCTTCGCAGAAATAACAGTGTCCTCCCCGAAGTCGTAGGCCCTCTCGTTCCCCCTACCCCCCAAGATTAGGATAACATTTTAACTGGGTTGTGAGCATTAAAGAAAAGTACTCTGAGCTGGGTGTGGTGGCGCCCACTTTAATCCCACTGCTAGGGAAGAAGGATCTGTGAGTCGGAACCTACCTGGTCTGCTTAGTGAGTTCCAGCCAAGGCCCCCTGGAGAGAGGCTCGGTCTTAAAAGAACGAAAAACAGAAAAAGCAGCCACCCTCCCCGGAGTGCTTCCATAGAATCAAATGTAACTTTTATATTTTTAGATAGGGTCTCATACTATAGCTGAGGCTAGCATGTAGCCCAGGCTGGCCTCAAAGTCAGGGCAGACCTGCCTCTGCCTTGAGGTCGTGAGGTAGTTCTTTGGTACAGCTGCACTGGGCTAGGCCCCAGAAGGGAGGGGGGAGTTGGGAGAAAATGTGTGAAGGGAATTAGAAACTTCAGCTCTCAAAGGCTACTGATAATGTTGTTGGGGCCTGAGAGTTAAGACTGTTGAAGGGCTCTGACGTATCTGCAGATGGAATTGGGGCGGGCTTTTTATTGGCAGAGAGTAGCCAAGCGGAGAGGCTAAAATCAGGCTTAGTAAATAGAAAATAATTCAGTTGGCAAGAGGCTAAGAGATGGGCTTCTGGGGTAGTAGTGACAAATAATAAAACTTAAATCAAGGGTTACCCCACATCCTTACAGTGTGTGTGTGTTTATTTCAATCAGGCGGGGCCGGTTTTGGTGGCCACATCTGTAATGCCAGCATTCAGAAGGCTGAGCCAGGGCAATAAAGAGGCCAAGACTAGTCTGGGCTATATAATAACAACTTGACTTAAAAAAAAAAAAATCAGGCTTTTTGGTGTAGTTCCATGATAGAGGACATGTTTAGCACATGCAAAGTCAGTTTAAACACAACAGACATGCATACTCTGCGCACACTCATGTACATAGACATTAGGGCCTAGGGTTGTACCTCAAAGGTAAGGCCTTTCTTTGCTTATTAGCCCCACCACTGGAAAAAGAAGGTTCTTCATATATATCATTTTTTTCCCATGACTTTAATGTCTACTTTGTATTATTTATGCTAATATGTCTGGTTTCAGTCTTTTCTTCAGAGCTTGCCAGAATAAATCTATCAGCTTAGCTCTGCTCCTGGCTGCCAAGACGTAGCCGCCTCCTCAGCCACAGATTTGACTGAATGCAAAAATTGACAATCCAACGGCGCTTTTTTTAGATCCTATTTAATTTCTGGTTGTGTTGCATCTTACCGTTTATTCTTCGCTGGAAACTTTTGGGTCAGGAAGTTTTGAGGCAGAAACTCTTAGGTTCAGCAGCGCATATACAGGACACAGAATGGAAGACAGAGCGCTGGCAGAATGGGCAATGAGTTGAAACCAATGAGTCCTGTTGATCACCCCTATCTTGCCCATCACGTTTATTTGTTTATTTGAGACTAGGTCTCTCTCTATCCCTTGCTGGCCTGAAACTCACGGAAATCTGCCTGGCCCTGTCTTTAGATGCATGTGCCACTAACTCTGGCTCTTATTTATTTTATTTTTAAAGTTAACTTTAATTCCCATGAGGATTATGAGTTTTTGTTTTGTTTCCAGACAGACTTTACCTATGCTGGTTGTCCACACTGGCTTCCAATTCCCTGGTTGAAGGGATCTGAATGCTAGGGTTACAAATACCCAGCCGGGAATCTAAATTCTGATACAAGACAATGTTTGGCCAAGGACTTTTTTTTTTTTTTAAGGCTTCCAGTCAGGTAGCAGGGCCAAGGTTACAGATAGGAGTGATCTACCCAGCAGATGGGTCATGAGTTTGTTGATACCAGATTTACTTTAAGCTGTTGGAGAGAAAAAGAATAATGTGGAGTTACAGTCAAATATTTGGAAAAATCACACGGGGAATAACTGCCACATTTTACAGTCTGTGCTAACTTCTCCTCTTCCTCCTCCTCCACCTCTTCCTTCTCTTTTTCCCTTCCCATTACCCTGATTCTATTGCCTTTACTACCAAAGTTCTGGGGCCAGTGTATAGGACTGTCCTCTGAGCCACAATGCTGCCATCTGCAGGAGTTTTTCTGTCCTCAAAACAGATCATCATAGTTGGGTTTGCTGACTGTTGACATGTCCTCATAGAAAGGGGATAGGAAGGGTCATGAGACCCTCATTAGAGCATTCAGCAACATCTCCTAACTATATATATATATATATATATATATATATATATATATATATATATAT